CTTGCTTATAGGATTGTGAATATTTTTCTGTTTTACCCCTGAACTCACCTCTCATTTTGATTAAATATTTATTTTAAAAACAGACAGGTTTCGGTTTCTTTATTGCTTGTCCGGTAATGAGGTAATGACGGTAATCTACCAGTCTGTACCTTTTGTATGCACAAAAATCAATTATTTATTATATGGGGCATAAAACTATGAAGACTACATAAAATTAACTTTTAGCTTTATTTTTGGTTACAGCTCTTTTTCGGAAAGTATAGAAGTATCTAAATTATTTTGAAAAATCGTGGAGAATGATATTATCGGTAAGTATACTCTTTTCGGTGAAAATAACGAAAAATCCGGTTCAAGTCCATGCATAGACAATCTGAAATTTGCAATATGAATTTATATTCTAAATTCTATGCATATCCGTTCATATTCGTCAATATTTCATTTGAAGCCTTTATTTGTCACAAGATTTTAGCAAAATGTAAGATAGTAAAGGCAACACCGCACCCTGCAGCCCAGTTGACAAGAACGACAAGCTGTCAAGATTAGGGATGTTTAAATCCTAGAAAAGTATCGATATGTATCGATTCTTAGCGTTTTAGGAAGTATCGATACTAAAATATTGGAATAAAATTATCGATATCCAGCGGAAGGAAACAAAGAAGAAAAGTAATATGAAGTTAGTTAGGCGCCAGTGTTGCCACCTCTTGGGCTTTTTCCGTGGTTTATGGGATTTCCGGGTCTCATGTTGAGAAATTGTGAGATTACAAAAGCTTAGCAGTGATCTGCTCTTGGAAGGTTCATATCGTGTTTAAGAAGATACATTTTTTTTTTAAGAAAATGGAGCCTATTTTTGTTGCTTCTAAAATATTTGCTTCAATACTACTTGGCAACATGGGTGTGATGATTGAAATTGTATTGAATATCCGAATGCCGCAAACGGTTGGAAATCATCTCCGTCGAGCTGTTTCAAATACACTCGTTATTATCGGCAAAAATGTATAGTGATAGATAAGTATAATAAACATCTGTTTTCAGTAGCGGCACCTCTGTTTTCAAATGTATCACTTTAAGACAAACAGAATCACCGAAATATCCCGAAATATGATGACAACTAAATGTTCGGACATGTCAAGAAACATATTAGAGATAAGCAGAGACTAACTCTTTCTGACACAGTCCCGATCGAAAGATAGGCGATACTCGTGAAATGTATCGATACACCCAACTGTCGTATATAAAAATATCGATCCAAAATATCGGGTATGGGAAGCAAACTTCTAAATATAGGATTGTATCGAACATCCCTACTGTCAAGATGTATCACCCGAGGTACCGACGCAGCTATTTTGCGGCGACATGGAAATAATTTTAAATTTTTATTTGCATTTTTTCAAGTGTTGTGCAACGATTTGGGGAAAAATTCCACGTATGGTCTTATAAAGCATAATAGAGTATATTTCAACAGTTGACGGAGCTTACTCCTGATACCAAGGGTTGACGGATCCCACACATGTGTCACTCGTTGGGGAGTTTTGAAATGTAATAATCAGCTGTTATTCAAATAATGTCTAATATAAATATAACCTAGAATGTGTTCTCAGTGAAACAAGACAGTTATTGAAAATTCTATTTTTTTGCAGGTTTTACGTTTGCCGGTAGCTTTACGACATATATTTGAGTATTTCTTAATTGCTGTAAATATAGTGTGGATGTTTGTTCAGTTCGTGAACAACCAAAAAATATTTGACTATGGATGTATGGATATCAAACATCCTGAATACTTTTGTAGAAATATCAATCGACGGTGGTATGGTACTGATGAACGGCTAGTGAAAATTTTTGGTAGAGCCTGTCATCAAGTAGGTGCTTAATGGCTATCTGCAAGAGGTTGATAGGAAAAACCACATGGTCAATTGAAGAAAATAATATAAACATGAATAAACAATCGACAATATTAAAAACATGAATTTTATTCAAAAATCGAACACTTTTTTAAATTTTGACTAAGTCATATGTAATATACTAAGTGACATATAAATCCGAACACCCAGTTTAAATGGTTTTATTTTAATAAAATTTTGTATAAGTACTTAATGAAGCATAATAAGTAAATGTTAAAAATTTCAAAATGATTGCACTGCTTTAAAGCCCTTTGACCTTAATAATGTGTGGATGCACCCTGATGTGCTACGCATTCTCCAACGCGCCTAGGCATGCTTCTGATCAGGTGGTCAATGTCCTCCTGTGGTATCTCATTCCAGGCAACCACCAATTCCTCTCGAAGTGCTTCTCATTCGTCGGTAAACACTTCGCATGCCAATAGGTCTTCCGTGTTCTGCAAACCATTCATTTGCAATGGACCTGGTAGTGGAGAAACGGTCCCTTAAGGCCAATAATCTTAGGCGGCGATCTTCACGGTCTGTTGTTCTACGGCGGCGTCCAGTGCCCCTTGCTCTTTGCGTACGGCCTTCTCGAAGCCATACCTGACAACACCTAACCACAGTGTCTACACTTTTTTGCACTCTACCTGCGATTGCCCGAAAAGAAAGTCCAGCTTCCCGAAGTCCCACTATACGGCCCCTAGCAAACTCACTAAGTTGACGAAATCGTACAGGTCTCCGTACTCTAGGCATCGTAACCGATCGTAAAGGATGTCAAGAACCAAAATCCGCCAACGTTGATTCTTTACTGCGGCTGAAATATTCATTTTTAGAGCGTTAGTGAATTAAAAGAAAGCAGTATAAAAACCGGAATGTCCAACTGATAAGGCTGAAAATTTTTTCACTTGTTATTTACAGTAAGATAAATACATTAACCAACTTTTATTAAAATAAGACCATTTAAACTGAGTGTTCGGATTTATATGTCACTTAGTATACATACTGTAAATTGTTTGTTGACGAACCCTATACACGTTTTATACATGTCTAATGGGTAATAAATATTATTATTACTATTACCGTGAAGATTTATTAAAAACATTTTGTTCGCGTAATCAGGACGATTTCCTATATGCTGATAGGCTTCATCATTATTGGAATTAGCCTATAATTATAACCGAGAGACATACGGATGCAGTTCGCAGTCACTGCGACGACGAAAAGCAAAGAAAAAATAAAACAAGACTCTTTGCCGCCTGGGTCGCAGTCGTTTGCGGTCAGGCCTCGAGAGAAATTCACGAGCGTGTTCTGCAGGCAGTGTAATTAAAATCAATAAACGCCTACAAAATGTGTAAAATGTTAATTAAACAATTACCAAATAGCGAAATAAAATGAGTGGTGCCTTACATTCTTTACGATTTTGGGCCGCGCGACGACACGGCTGAAAGGCATTCCAAATCGAGGTTTAATGTTAAACGTTACCGAGTTAGTTGCAAATGAGGAGACTACGACATCCTATAAGTCTAGCTACCGGAGGGTGGACTTGTGGGCTGTCGCATCATTCTTGGGTCAGCATCCAAGCTAAGCAAGCTGCTGGCAAAGAACCGAGTTATACAGGGTGTTTCACAACTTATCTTGACTAAAAAAAATGTAATAAGAGTTCTACAGAAATCGAGATAATAAAATAATGCAGTTTAACAGTTCAAAACCCAACTAACAATTATCACTCTTATTAGAGTTGCAAGAATGATTATACAGTATTCCTTAAACAGCATTGTATACTGTAAGAACATTAGCAAAACCCTCTTAGAACTGCTATACAAGCGGAATGGGCACACCTAATAGGACACTTCAGTCATTTAAGAGGTTGTATAAGGGCTGCAGGTAACAGTTATAAAACAAAAGTGTAAGCCTCTTGCAGCCGCTATAGGACATTTGCGTCAGTGCAAGATTCAGTTTTTGTCAACTATGCAACTGTTATGTTACGTGATTCTACTGTATTGCAACCAAACTATTTCTTATGTATTGTATAGACGAAGTGAAGAATATATAACTAACACATTACAGTCATCTTGTTTACTTACATATCGGCCATTGTGTCAAGGGTGTCAAGATAGGGTAAAAGACGGGGTTCTAGAACCTCGTGGATATAACACTGCGCGTTCATGTTACCTCTGATGAAGATTAAAGGTGACCTGGAACCATAAGCTATAGCACCCCAAACCATAACTCCAACAGTGTGATGAACATGTCTTTCAACAAAAAACTGTGGATTCCTCCTTTCACCACGTCGCCTTCTAACCCTGGCACGACCATCGTGCATGCCAAAATCGAGACTCGTCACTAAAGACAATACTGTTCCATTCCTCATCCCAGAGTGACCGTTGTCTGCACCACTCAAGGCGATTACGTCGGTGTTCTCGAGTTAAAGGGAGGACCCAGTGTGGCCGGTATGAAAACAAGCCAAAACTTCTCATTCGTCGGTAAACACTTCGCATGGCAATAGGTCTTCCGTGTTCTGCAAACCATTCATTTGCAATGGACCTGGTAGTGGAGAAACGGTCCCTTAAGGCCAATAATCTTAGGCGGCGATCTTCACGGTCTGTTGTTCTACGGCGGCGTTCAGTGCCCCTTGCTCTTTGCGTACGGCCTTCTCGAAGCCATGCCTGACAACACCTAACCACAGTGTCTACATTTCTTTGCACTCTAACTGCAATTGCCGTAAAAGAAAGTCCAGCTTCCCTAAGTACCACTATACGGCCCCTATCAAACTCACTAAGTTGACGAAATCGTACACATCTCCGTACTCTAGGCATCGTAACCGATCGTAAAGGATGTCAAGAACCAAAATCCGCCAACGTTGATTCTTTACTGCGGCTGAAATATTCATGTTTAGAGCGTTAGTGAATTAAAAAAAGCAGTATAAAAACCGGAATGTCCAACTGATAAGGCTGAACATTTTTTCACTTGTTATTTACAGTAAGATAAATACATTCACCAACTTTTATTAAAGTAAAACCATTTAAACTGGGTGTTCGGATTTATATGTCACTTAGTATATTTTTCCGAGCAATAATGACCACCATAATGTTTACACCCTGCAGAATGGTACCGAATACTTACTTGGCATAATCAGCCTTGCAATACACAGCCCTATCTCTGATGAAGCAAGATGGTTGCCTATCCAGCTGCAGTTGACAAATGGAGCACCGTAAGCATCTCGCATGCCAGCTTCTTCCGGATACCTCCAGCAGAAACTTGTCACTTATAGGTTCACCGCATGCAGAACATATGCGATATTCAGTCTGGAACAATATATATGCGCTATATGCTAAATAGAACTTTCAGGAATTCATGGTGAGAACAACATTTATACAGGGTGTCCGCAAAGTTGGGGTTTTCCTTTTCAGAAACAACTACCCTTGAAATAACAAAGGTAATGTGTAGTGAAACAAGGGCGACCAAGCAAAAAAAATAAAGGAAAAAGTACTCACTCTCCAGTTGACGAGAAGGGCTAAGTACGTCTCTGTCCGAAACCATACCGCTTCAACAGAAAATGAAATCAGCTGATGCGCTACCGAGCAGACGCAGGCAAACAAGGAAGGCAAAATGTTGCGTAAAAAGTCTAGGTATTGCATCCCGTCCAATCGATTTGGGAGAATAAATGGTCCAATGAGCATACCGTTCACCATGCCAGCCCAAACATTCACCGAAAATATTTGTTGAAAATGTGCCCGACGGACAGCGTGCGGATTTTCTACTGACCAAACATGAGTGTTGCGAAAGTTATTCACCCCATTACGCGTGACCGTAGATTCATCTGTCACCAATATGCACTTCAAAAAGTCCGGATTATTGTCATGTTGATGCAACAACCACTCACAAAACCGCACTCTTGCTGGGAAATCGTCATGTTGAAGGGCTTGTACACGTTGGACGTGAAACGGATACAGCTCCTCTTCACGCAGCGTTTGCCACTCTTTAGTTTTTGATACTTGCACTTCTCTAGCCACGTCTCTAGTGCTTGTTGAGGGATTCTCGTCTACGCGATTACCTCTAGACGCGTGACCGTACCCGTCGGTTGAAGGTTGCATACTGACCTGACACACTGACCCCGACCCAGTTCTGTCGTCGGGTTGAGCTAGTGTCCTAGTACCAGTCGGGGATGTCGCGGCTACAGGAGGGTATTCAGATATTTTTGATGCTGCAGAGCCCTTTATCTCGGTTCCCTTAAGACATTGGTGTATATGGTACTAAGAAAAATTGCTTATGTTTTCAAGATCTACACGTCGTGTAAAGGAAAACCCCAACTTTGCGGACACCCTGTATAGTCCTTTTATACTGGATCTTTCCAACTCGAGTCTATCCATTGAATATCGGAAACGTTCAATTGGATTGGGGTAAAGCTGTGCATTTATGTTACTGAGAAAATGACAGAAGGTTTCGCAATTTAGAGTATTTTCGGAGATAGACGGAAAAATCCGAATTACCTCAAAATTTTCCCTGACTTTATTTGAGGTGGAATTTCAAAACAAATCACACCTGAACATAGCCACTTTTTCTATGGCGGATATGAAATAATAATAATAATTAATAATTAACGTCTTTTATAATATACTATATAGGAGGCGAGATTTAGATAATATATCTAGTGCACCATCTAACCCCCTTAACAATACGAGATGTAAAAAAAACAGAATTTGTTGAAAATTAATACCTGTATACAATAACGACAGAACAAAGTATAATCTAAGTAAAGGCGTAAGGAAAATATGAGGCCACTTATGGGTTACAACAGATTTCGCTGCTGTTAATAATAATAATAATAATGTTTATTGTCACAAAATACAGGTAAATATCAAATATTGCGCACAATAAACAAAAAGCACCCAAAAAAAGTTTGCACTTGTGTTTGGATTTGTTAAGTAGAACTGCGGTCTAAAGAATTATATGATTTGATCGCATTGTAAATATATGTATTCTGATGCTATTTCGTGGAATTGAAAAAGTCTCTCTATATCTAATATTAATGCCTCTAGGTATGAATTTGTTTACTAAATATGACTGTGTTTTTGAATAAAGAACCTTATGAGTCAGATTTAGGAGCTGGTACTTATACATTTTATCAATTTTCATCCATTTGAGTTCATTAATGGCATTCGATATATGATCATACTTTTACGTACAAGTCTGCAACATGTATTCATAATACTTTGAATACGATTTCTTGTTATAAAATCTAAATAGGGATAGTAAACCACAAAGCAATACGATATCTTTGAAAACAAGAAAGATTCAAACAATTGTTTTCTCGCAGATTTATGTAATTATAGCCGTATTTGCAAATAAAACTCTGAGAATAACGTAGCACTGATAAATTAGATAGTTTTCGTGTATAACAAATTTTAAGTCATCCATTATAATACCTAGGTTCTTCGAATGATCCACAGGAACAAATTTATTACCTTTTAAATGTATGTCTATGTCCTTTTTTAAAGTATTCTTTTTGGTCTGTTTATATATATATATATATATACAGGGTGTCCGCAAAGTTGGGGTTTTCCTTTACACGACGTGTAGATCTTGAAAACATAAGCAATTTTTCTTAGTACCATATACACCAATGTCTTAAGGGAACCGAGATAAAGGGCTCTGCAATATCAAAAATATCTGAATACCGTCCTGTAGCCGCGACCCGCGACATCACCGAGTGGTACAAGGTCACTGGCTCAACCCGACGACAGAACTGGGTCGGGGTCAGTGTGTCAGGTCAGTATGCAACCTTCAGCCGACGGTTACGGTCACGCGTGTTGGGTGACAGACGAATCTACGTTCACGCGTAATGGGGTGAATAACTTTCGTAACACTCATGTTTGGTCAGTAGAAAATCCGCACGCTGTCCGTCGGGCACATTTTCAACAAACATTTTCGGTGAATGTTTGGGCTGGCATGGTGAACGGTATGCTCATTGCACCATTTATTCTCCCAAATCGATTGTACGGGATGGAATACCTAGACTTTTTACGCAACATTTTGCCTTCCTTGTTAGAAGATGTGCCATTAAGTGTAAGACAATCAATGTGGTTTCTGCACGATGGTGCACCGCCCCATTTTAGACGCGAAGTGCGTGAGTTTCTGAATGAATTATTTTCGAATAGGTGGATCGGACGTAATGGACCCGAAGCGTGGCCTCCGCGACCTCCAGACTTAACACCATGTGACTTTTTTCTTTGGGGAGAAATGAAACACTTAGTGTACAAAACTGAAGTGCATACGGTTGACGAACTTCGTCTCAGAATTGAACAAGCTGGTGCTTTCATTCGGGGGCGGGACTCCATTCTCAAAGCCTGCACCGATGCTTGGCTACGTCGTGCACGCACCTGTGTTTTTGAATCAAACCGCGATAACTTCGAACAATACCTATAAAGTACGTTTACGTAAAAACTGAAAACGCGGCAACGCCGTCATATTTGTTACCTCTGTTCGTGGTCTGCACCACCGCCTGCGTCTGCTCGGTAGCGCATCAGCTGATTTCATTTTCTGTTGGAGCGGTATGATTTCGGGCAGGGACGTACTTAGCCCTTCTCGTCAACTGGAGAGTGAGTACTCTTTCCTTTATTTTTTTTTACTTGGTCGTCCTCGTTTCACTACACATTACCTTTGTTATTTCAAGGGTAGTTGTTTCTGAAAAGGAAAACCCCAACTTTGCGGACACGCTGTATATATATATATATATATATATACGCCATCACTGACGGAACCGAGGACAAAGCCTGAATATTAACTATTGAAATGTTCAACATAATGTGCTGAGGTGGTTTGGAATCTCTTCTATACCACACACAATTAACCTACGTCACTATAGCCTGATAGCGAAACGGAAGAGATTAACAAAATCATCGTACGTCACGGTTAAGGCTGCGTGTCTGCGGGATCCGCGTGTACCGATACAAAGGCACGCCACGTGAGCACTAGCGTATAAAATGTGTTATGCTATTCTCCTCCGTTTTGGCATCCGAGTATAACTTCCGAGTATTTTCGAAACAGAATCGATTTCATTTTTCTTATTCGGATTTAAGCTTAACTATTAAAGCCTATTTTTATACATATAGGAGACAATGGAAATTTAGAAATGCAACAAATTATTTACTCAGAAAATACAGTAGCGTAGAATGAATTACCATTTCCTATGAGTCAAAATATTGGAGGTTCTGAGCAACTGACGGGTAGAGTTTAAGCCACAAGTATATTTGGATGTAGTCAGTGTAGAAAATATGTCCATTACTAAGTAAAACAACTATGTAATTTCCAAAAAAACTGAAAAATGTCAACTTGCTGACTAGATAGCTGCTAGTGTACAAATAGTTCATTCCGATCTATATCGTTCTGAGAAATGACTCAACGACATGCCCAACGACCATGCTGCAAGCATGCTTTGTTGGTTGCAGAATGCCGAGATAGTCTGTGGAGTATATCTTTGAGAAGATGTGACAGGCAGAAAATTGGATGAATAACAGAGCAGCAGGATCGCATCTAGATGATTGTGTGTAATGGTCTGAATGCGTATGAAATCAGTAAAAATTATTACTGAATTTTATGTTCATGAAGTATATCGATTAGCTGTACCAGATGGGTTATTGGTGTTGTCTTTTCCGAAGAGAGGTTATGTTCAAAGTTATAAATGAGGATTTTCCCCGTTTTTCTGGGTTTTCAAAAACTTTTAGAAGCATTACAGAAAACCTAGGAATGACGACTCGCACACAAAACATTTTTGCAGTGCCTCACATCTAGGCGCTGATTTGTATTTTCTACTTGACATCGCAAAATAAATTTCTATATACTAAGTGACATATAAATCCGAACACACAGTTTAAATGATTTTATTTTAATAAAAGTTGGTGAATGTATTTATCTTACTGTAAATAACAAGTGAATTTTCAGCCTTATCAGAGTTGGACATTCCGGTTTTTATACTGCTCTTTTTTAATTCACTAACGCTCAAAAAATGAATATTTCAGCCGCAGTAAAGAATGAACGTTGGCGGATTTTGGTTCTTGACATCCTTTACGATCGGTTACGATGCCTAGAGTACGGAGACCTGTACGATTTCGTCAACTTAGTGAGTTTGATAGGGGCCGTATAGTTGGACTTCGGGAAGCTGGACTTTCTTTTCGGGCAATTGCATTTAGAGTGCAAAGAAGTGTAGACACTGTGGTTAGGTGTTGTCAGGCATGGCTTCGAGAAGGCCGTACGCAAAGAGCAAGGGGCACTGGACGCCGCCGTAGAACAACAGACCGTGAAGATCGC